GCCAGGCAGGGAGGGGACCCTGCTTCATTCTGCCTCATCTGTGGTGACAGATGTGGCCCTGGCACGGACACATCTGCCTTTTGCAGGAGCCAGGAGCTTGCCAAACCTAGACTGCCCTGCTCCAGATGGGGGATTGGGTCCTGGGGCTGGGGACAACACGCTCCCTAGGAGCTGGCAAGCTGTGGAAGCCATCGGGGTCACCTGCAGTCCCCAAGGGTTGTGCTGGCAGCGTCCTTCCAGATGGCCTGGTGCAACCACATGTGGACATCACCTTTGGGCGTGGGAGATGGTGGGAGCAGCCTACTCCTCCCTGGGTCACCTGTTCCTTGCTGAGTGGTGGTGACATGGGGCTGTCCCCTGCCCACAGCAGGTACCTCGCTGTGTGGGTGCGCTGGCACGAGCTGCACCAGTGCCTGACATGCAGCATGTAGCTGTGTCCCCTGGGAGAGGGGACCTGAGGACACTGACACCAAAGGCAAGATGTCCTCCCCCTACCCCTCAGCCCAGCGTCCACCTCCTCGGCTCTGTCTCAGGGGAAACGAGGCAAATCCAGCCCAGCCCAGCTCAGCCTGTCTGCAAAAACAGCACTTTGCCCTGCGCCCTCCCTGTCACTCCCCGGGGTCCCACCGGCAGCCTCCCCCCTGCGAGCTGGGCCACGAGGTTCCCTGGTCCCCAGGGACGGGCTGGAGGTCCTCCCTCACTTGGTGGGGGGCAGGGATGGCCATGGCCCCAGGGGGGGCTGGGGGCCACTGGGAGGGCCCTGGGCAGGGCTGGGAGATAGTCCCTGAATGTTATCAGCCCATCGTCTCACCTGTGGCGGGGCTCAGCCCTCCGGCAGGACAGGGAAGGGCCATAAAGGGCTGTCCCCTCACCCTGGACGCGGGAGGAATTCAGGATGGGAGCTGGGGTGGGCAGCATGGGGCGGCCATTCTCCGCTGGAACCTGCCTTCTCCTCTGCCTCCTCGCCCAGCTCGCCGCTGCAGCCTCAGGTGAGAGGGGACGTGTGGGACAGGGTGGGTGGGAGCCTTTGGTGGGGAGCATTGGGGCTGGTGCTACTTCTCCAGGGGTCTCTGGGGACCCTGTCACCTCTCCATGGGATACCAGCAAAGGCAAACCCTCTGGCCATGTCAGGGTGGTTTGAGACGCCCCCAGTCTTTTAATGGATCTGTCTCAGCCCCCACCAAAGCAGGCCCTGTGCTTGTCCCACATCCCCATCCTCCCCAAACCTGCTGCCCCCTCACCCTCTGGCAGTGGCTTTTGGGTCAAGTGGCTTGAGAGCCACCGGTTGTCTGGACATGGCACACTCGCCACAGGGAGATGGTGCTCTGGAACCTCATCCCCTCTGCTGAGAGGGGGAAATGGCACCTAATCCCTGCCAAACTGTGCCTCAGTTTCCCCCTCTGCAGATGGGCCCTGGCCAATCCTGGGGTTGCCAAAGATCGGGCTGATTCCTGAAGGGCTCCTGGCCCCTCTGAGGCCCCCATGGAGGGGACTCAGAGCCTTGGGTGGAGATGCCCACGCTCAGGGTGCCCAGTGCTCCTGCACGCCCCCAGTTATGCTCTTGACTCCAGAGGCGGAGAAGACCCCGGGCTACTGGAACGAAGGGGCCAGGAGGAGCCTGGATTTGGCCCTGGCATTGCAGCCAACAGCACGGCGGGCCAAAAACATCATCCTCTTCATGGGTGACGGTGAGTGCCCCAAATCCCAGCCAGGCCCAGCTCCACAGCAGCCAGGGGACAGGGCTGGCGAGAAGATGGGGCTGGTGCAGCTCCCTTCCTCCCAGGCTGTCCCCCTTGGCAATGCCTGGGGAGGACAGGACTGTCGCTGGTCCCAACCCCTTGCAACCCCATGGTTCTGCCGTGCCTGCAGGCATGGGGCTGTCCACCATGTCAGCAGCTCGGATCTACAAGGGGCAACTGGCCGGCGGCTCGGGTGAGGAGAGCGTCTTGGCCATGGAGACCTTTCCCCACATGGCCCTGGCCAAGGTGAGTGGGGCAGCGCAGGGGGGCTGCCCTGTTGCCCCTGCCTGAAAGCCCACCGAGCCTCGCTTGCTTCCAGACCTACTCCATCGACCGGCAAGTGCCCGACAGCGCTGGCACGGGCACAGCCTACCTCTGTGGGGTGAAGACCAATGCCAAGACGCTGGGGCTGAGCGGGGCAGCCGTCTATGGCAAATGCCACACCACCTTTGGCAACGAGGTGGACTCCATCCTGCACCGGGCCAGGCTGGCAGGTACGGAGCAGTGGGCAACCCTGTTGGAGAGCCTGGCATGGCATGGCCATCCTGTGCCATGCAGAGCTAGATGGGCTCCTCATGAACCCTTGCCCATGCTGCAGGGAAGTCGGTGGGCATCGTGACAACCACGCGGGTGCAACACGCATCCCCTGCGGCCGCCTATGCCCACTCGGCCAGCCGGAGCTGGTACGCCGATGCCAACATGCCCAAGGAGGCATTGCGGGATGGCTGCAAGGACATCGCCTACCAGCTGGTGCACAACACGGACATCAACGTGAGCCAGGGAGCGGGTGCGGGAGGGAGGGAGGAAGGGGACACTGGGGACCTTGGGAGGGTCTGCTGAGCTCCCCGGCAGGTGATCCTGGGTGGCGGGCGGATGTACATGACCCCCAAGCGGACCCCGGACCCCGAATACCCAGAAGACCCAGCTCAGAATGGCACCAGGAAGGATGGCGTGGATTTGATTGCCAAATGGCTCAATGCCAAGCAGGTACCGTGCCGGGGCAGAGGGGGTGTGATGCCAGACTCGGGGCACACGTCCCTTGGCACTGGCTCCGTTCTTGCTGGCAGGGTGCCCGCTACGTCTGGGACAAGAAGGGCTTGGACGCGGTTGAGGATGACTCTGTGAGCCACCTGATGGGTAAGAGCATCACTGCCTGCACTACTGGCAACGCCTGCTCCTCCTCCCTGCTCCAGGGGTACTGCCAGGGGCACAAAGTGGCCCCAGTGTGGACTCCCCCCTGCCCCACTCCCCCAGGCCTCTTTGAGCCCAAGGACATGAAGTATGAGCTGAACCGCAACACCTCCACGGACCCTTCCATCGTGGAGATGACAGAAAAGGCCATTCGCATCCTTCGCAGGAACCCCAATGGCTTCTTCCTCTTTGTGGAAGATGAGTAGCCCCAGGCGGGCAGCGTGGCTGGGGCTGGGGGGGGATGTGGGTCCTGGGAGCAAGTGGGCATCCTGGGGGACCAGGGAGAGGGTGATGGCCATGTTCCCCGTGCAGGTGGCAGGATTGACCATGGCCACCACAGTGGCCGGGCCAAGCAGGCGCTGATGGAGACAGTCATGATGGACCGAGCAGTGGCACGGGCAGGCGAGCTCACCTCCCCCTCTGACACCTTGACCGTGGTGACAGCTGATCACTCTCACGTCTTCACCTTTGGGGGCAACACCCTGCGTGGCAACTCCATCTTTGGTGGGCCTCAGGGAGGGGCAGTGAGCATCCCTGTTCCCACCTCCCCCTTTTGCTCCCACCAGAGGCTGAGCTGGCCAAGGCAGGGAGCTGGGGAGAGGTACCCTGCTGGGACAGGGGGTGACAATGTCTTTCCCTGTGCCAGGGCTGGCCCCCAAGAAAGCCAAGGACAAGCGAGCCTACACCAGCATCCTCTACGGCAATGGTCCCGGCTACAGCATCCGTGATGGGGGACGCCCAGCTGTCAGTCTCCCTGCTGCAGGTAGGAGTCTGCTCAGGGTCGGGGCGGGGGTCAGGGTGGCTGGGGGCAGCATCCCACAGGCATGGCCACTGGGACTGCATGGGGTCCCTATGCCACCGAGTGGCTCAGGAGTCACTTGGGCATGAGTCACCCTGACGCCAGGGTGATGGGAGCTGCTCCTCGCCCCTGCTGCCCCAGCCCCATTTCTCCTCCCCCCCCCCTGCAGAGGACAAGGACTACAGGCAGCAGGCAGCCGTGCCCCTGGAGTCGGAGACCCACAGCGGGGAGGACGTGGTGGTGCTGGCCCAGGGTCCCATGGCCCACCTCTTCCACGGGGTGCAGGAGCAGCACTACATTGCCCATGCCATGGCTTACGCCACCTGCCTCCAGCCCTATGCCGCCGAGCCCGGCTGCGGGACAGCCCGCAGGGCCTCCCATGGCACCCAGAGCTTCCCACAGACCCTGCTCACCCTCCTGGCCCTCTGCATGGCTGCCCACATGTTGGGGGGCTGAGAGTCCTGGCCGAGCCTCACTTCACCCCAGGCTGCCCAGCGCACCACGAGCTGCCCCCAGCCACCACATGGAGGGTCTTGGCAGCTGGGTCTCCACTGTGGCCGGGATCAAGGGATGCAATAAAACCTGAGTTGTTTGTCTCCCATCTGCTGTGAGAGGGTTTGCAGCTGTGGCCACCTCCTAAGGAGCTGCCCCTGCCTCAGTTTCCCCAGGTGGCTGCAGCTCCTAGTTCTGCCCCCAGGACCAGCACTGGAGGCACTGGAGTGAAGGAGATGATGCAATGAGGGTGAGGCAACGTCCACCCTAGCTTTGCCAGGCTGGGGCATGATAATAGAAGGGTTGGTACCTTCCTGGCAAGGGCTGAGGAAGGAGTGGTGTTTTAGTCCAGAGCAGTGGACTTACTGCTCAAGAAAGCATTGGGCAAAGAACGGGACTGCTCGGTGCATGAGTGACCCCCAGGTGCTCCCAGTACCCTTGTTGCCCCAGGTCTGATGCTCAGCACTGCCTGTGGCACCCTGGGCCAGGGCATCCCCCATCCTGGCACCACAGCCGAGGTGGGAAACTACACTCACCAGGTACTGCCCATCGCCTCAACCCCTGCCTCTGCACCCCAAGTCCGGCCCCACAGCAATAAGGAGGTGCCTGCAGCCCAGCCCCGTGGCCTTTGTGCCGGTTGCCCGGCAGGACGCCAGGCTATTAGAAAGGTGCTGAACCCTTCCACGCACCCCACAGGGGTTGATCCTGGTCCAAAGTCCCTCCCCAGATCTGCTAGAGCTGCGGACGCTGCCAGTGGCGTTGGGCTACTGGATCTCGCCATGCACCTCCTGGCCCCGCTCACCCTCTGCCTGGGCCTCTGGGCAGGGCTCAGCGCTGCTGTCATCCCAGGTGGGGACAAGGCTGGGGACGGGTGCCCGGCTGGCTGCAATGGGTGCCCCAGGGAAGCGGGGGCACTCATCAGAGCACCAGCCTGGCTGGCTGCAGGGAGGGCTTGGGGAGGGGAAAAGGGTTTGCATAGCTCTGCAAGGGCTAATGGGGTTTATCTCATCTTCTGGGCACCTTGAGGCAGTTTTCCCCCCTGGGGTCAGGTTCCTGCTTGCTTCTGGGCTAGGGGGCTGGGGGACATGCCTGTAACCTCCTCCCTCCCCTCCATGGATGTGTCTCCATTCCACCTGCCAGGTGGTTCCTCCCATCATGTCCTTTTTTACTGCCCCCTCCTGCTCTGCCCCAGGACCCCCAGGCAGGGCAGTAGATGCAAGCCCTTGGGGCCTTTTCCCACCCCAAACAGCACCTTGATTCAGTGCGTGGCAGAAGGCCCCAGCATGGGGATACCCAGGGAGCAGGTACCCCTGGGATGGGGGCACCCCAGGGATGCGGGTACCCCAGGGATGTGGGTGCTGGTGAGGTGGGACTGACGGGTACTGCCCCATCCCAGCGGAGGAAGAGAAGCCATCCTTCTGGAATAAGCAGGCAGCCGCAGCCATCGAGGCTGCCTACAACATCCAGCCAAGGATAAAACAAGCCAAAAACCTCATCCTGTTCCTCGGCGATGGTGAGTTCCACTGGCACACCCGGCAGGCAGGCTGGTACCACTGCTGCCCTACGGAGCTGGGTGCAGGGAGGGCACCCGGTCCAGAGGGTGAGCAGGACCCTCTCTCTTCACCCAGGCTTCGGGGTCCCCACCATCACGGCCACTCGCATCCTGAAGGGTCAGCAGCAGGGGAAGCTGGGCCCTGAGACCCCCCTTGCCCTGGATGCTTTCCCGTATGTGGCTCTCTCCAAGGTAAATTCCCACTATGCTGGGCACGGGGCCAGGCTGCTGCTGGGCATGGGGCCAGGGTAATACCCATGGGGCTGCCGGCACAGAAGCACCCTGGGGTTGCCTGTGTGGGTTGCACAGGGTCCCTGCCTGTCCCATACTTGCTCTCAGGCATGAGTGACCCTGGCAAGGGGTGCCTGGGGTTGGGGGGTAACCCTCTGGGTGCCTCTGCCAACCGCCCCCTGCCCTGAGGCTGGCACTTGTCCTCGGCAGACGTACAATGTGGACCGTCAGGTCCCCGACAGCGCAGGGACGGCCACCGCCTACCTCTGCGGCGTGAAGGGCAACTACAAGACCATAGGGCTGAGCGCGGCCGCCCGCTTCGGGCAGTGCAACACCACGGCGGGCAACGAGGTGATCTCAGTGATGGAGCGAGCCCGCAAAGCTGGTAATGGGGGGCACGGGGCAGCGGGGCTGGGGGCGGACCCTGCAGGGACATGGGGCATCAAGCTTGGGGCTGGTCCCCCCGCCACAAGCGTCCCAGGGCTCAGTGGTGGAGGACCCTGTGCCCCCACCGATTGTGGGGACCCTGACCAGTTGGGGGGCGACAGGGAAGGCAGTGGGCATCGTGACGACAACACGGGTGCAGCATGCATCACCCTCGGGGACCTACGCCCATGTGGTGGACCGTGACTGGTACGGGGATGCCAACATGCCCACGAATGCCCGCAAGGAAGGCTGCAAGGACATCGCCTGGCAGCTGGTCCACAACGTTGACATCAATGTGAGCACCCGTGCATGGGAGTGGAAGCAAGGGCAGATCCTCCCCCCAGGCACCCCCTGTTAATGCTGTGCCCGTCTCATCCCCTCCAGGTGATCCTGGGGGGTGGTCGGAAATACATGACCCCTGAGGGGACAGTAGACCCCGAGTATCCCACCTACCCAGATCAGAACGGGACACGCAAGGATGGCACTAACCTCATAGACAAGTGGCTGACAGCTCGAAAGGAGGTAGGTGACACGAGACAGGACGGTCCTCTGCTCACCACCCCCACGCAAGGGGCCAGGCACCCATGACCCCCTGTGGGATTTACCTGCAGGGTGCCCGCTATGTCTGGAACAGGACGGAGATGCTGGCTGCCGCCGCTGACCCCAATGTGAAATATTTGATGGGTAACAAACGTCCCACACACCGAGACCTGGGAGGCACCAGTACGTGTGCAGGCACTGAGGCTGCCCCAAATGTGTCCCCTCCCAGGTCTCTTTGAACCCGGTGACATGAAATACAATCTGACGCGTGACCCCGCCATGGACCCATCGCTTGCCGAGATGACAGAGGCGGCCATCACCATCCTGAGCAGGAACCCCAACGGCTTCTACCTCTTTGTTGAAGGTAAGTCGGGGCCAGTGCCCTTGGGGCGGGTGAGAAGGGGGGGTCCCACATCCTGGGGTGGGGCTACGAGTTGGGGGTGCTGCTGTCAGTCCCCATCCCACCATGGGTGCTTGCCTGCAGGTGGCAGAATCGACCACGGCCACCACGATGGTAAAGCCCATAAGGCGCTGACGGAGGCGGTGGAATTCGACTGGGCCATTGATCGGGCGGGCAAACTGACAGACGAGGGGGACACCCTCACCGTCATCACTGCCGATCACTCACATGTCTTCTCCTTCGGCGGCTACACCCTGCGTGGCTCCTCCATCTTCGGTAGGGCTCTGCATGGGGCACAGCCCCATGCTGGGCACTGCCAGCTCCAGGGGACCCTGGCTGTGGCCAGAGGGGTGATAAAGGGGGTTCTTGGCTGATTCCCCCCCTCCATCACCTCCTTCCCAGGTGTGGCCCCCAGCATGGCCTCTGACGGTAAGAATTATACATCCATCCTCTACGGGAACGGGCCAGGTTACCCGAATGCTACACGGCCTGATGTGAATGATACCGAAGCTGGTGAGGGCACAGGGACCATGGCTGGGTAGTGGGATGGGGCTGGGGTCCACCACTGGCACCCTCACCCCCTTCTTCCCCCTCCCCAGGGCACTATGATTACAACCAGCAGGCGGCTGTGCCTCTTGACTCGGAGACCCACGGCGGTGAGGATGTGGCCATCCTGGCCAAGGGCCCCATGGCTCACCTCTTCCATGGGGTGCAGGAGGAGACCTACGTGGCCCATGTCATGGCCTACGCTGCCTGCATCGAGCCCTACGCTTCCTGCCGCCAGCGGGACTCTGCCCCCAGCACCCGCGCCACCCCCCTGGCCCTGCTCCTTCCCATCCTCCTCCTGCCCCTCTTCTACTGACCCCACAGCCCCAGGGGACCCCACAGGTACTGCTGGACCTGCATCCCTCCCTCCCCATGGCTGCAGCACCTGAAGGTGGCCAGCAGCTCTTTGGAGCATCCCTAGTCCAGATGTGGCAGCTGTGGGGCACCGAATTCTGGACATGGGGGTGCCCTATGCCACCTGCGTGGGGTGCTCAGTAGTTAATAAATGTGGGGTGTGATGGCTCCCGTACCGTACAGGCAGAGTTGGGGGTGCTGCCCGGCCCCTGGCCACAGCCCCTTGCACCCACCCGGCATATCCAGCGCTTTATTGACCAGAAACAGCAGCAAAAAATACAGCGGGCATTCGTGTCCCCACGCTCCCAGGGCAGGCTGGCATTGCCCACCCCAAGCCCTGCCGGCTGTGCCCACCCGCTGGCAGGGGTGACGCGGGGACAGGATGGGGCTGGCACAAGGGCTGCCGGGGAGGGCACAGGGTTGGTGGGCTTTTGGCGTGGGGTAGCCCCACAGCATCTCTGGTTCACTCTCCCTGTCCCGACCGGCGCTGGGCTGGATGTGGTAGGGCTGGGTGAAGGATTTGGGGTGGGTGGACAGAAGAGGGGGGTACACAGTTGCCTGGGGGGTGCCCCTACATCACCTCATTCCTCCATAGGGACTCAGACCCCCCCAGTTCACAGGGCAGAGGGGAGGAAGGGAGTGGGCAGGAGGCAGCTGCCTCTGTGCAGCAGCTCGTGCCCATCCCAAGTGTCTCCCCACTGCCTCCACCCCCTGGCAGGCGCCTGTCTTTGGGGGAGAGACCCCCTGCATCATCCAGGGGTGCCCCCTTAGCCTGGTGAGTAGGAGGGGGAGACAGGAGAAGGTGGGGAGTGGGCACAGGGTGGCACGTGGGCACAGGGTGGCACATGGGCAGGGATGGAGATTGGGGGGGTGCCAGCTTGCCAGGGTGGGATCGGCCTCACCACACTGAGCACTTGTGCACCGGGTTCATGGGCGAGTTCTTGGGGCAGTGGAAAACCCGTCCAAACTCCTCAAACTGCGAGACACTGCCCAGGACCCTGCCAGGAGAGGGGAGCAACTCAGAGCCGGGCACACCCCCACCATGTGCCCTACTCGGGACACCCACTCACCCCACCAGCACCCCATCCCCTGCCCCAGGGATGCCCACCCAGGGCCTTCTAGTGCCATCCTGGTGCCCACCCCACTTTGTATGGCACTGCCAGACGTGGGGAAGGCTGGCACCTGCAGTGCCCACCTGTTTTTGGAACAGCCGGTACCTGTAGTGCTCCGGGGCGTGCTTGTCTGTCAGCACCTGCAGGTAGATGGACTGGGATCGCCGCTTGATGCACCAGTTCTGTGGGGGAGAAAGGTTCTCATGGGTGAGTCGGATGGGACATCCCAGGTCCTGGCACCCACTGGGGTCCCTGGGGGTCCTGGCACCCACCAAGGCACAACAGCCCCTCTTGCTGCCGGACTAGGTGATGCCCTGGTTGTGCTTGTTATTGCAGGGTCTCCTGGGAAACTCCATATGGGGTATAGATGGGTTGGGAGGTGAGCACAGGGGCATGTTTGTTATTGTAGGGTCTCCTAGGGGAGTGGGCTGCCTGACTCTAGTGTCTCCTGGGAGTTCAGGGTCATGTGCATTTGCTACTGTGGGGTGTCTGGAGGTGATGGAGAGTTTGTTATTGTAGGGTCCCCAGGAGCAGCGGGGGGTGTGCAGGATGCTCCTTGCAGGGCTCAGTGCTATGCCCTGAGCCCAGGGCCTGCTGATGGAGCCCAGCCCGGCTCCTGGCCATGGGCACTGGGTCTGGCACAGCTCTTGCTTTGTCCCTCAAGGCCACTAGTCCCACACCGGGTGACCACGCCACCCCGGTATGTGCCATGTGTGGGAGGGCAGGGGCTCACCTGGGCGAAGGCGATGAAGAAGAGCTGGTCGTGGGTGTATTTCAGGTGATGCAAGGGGTGCTCAGGGCCGTGCTCCCGCACCCACTTCTGGTAGGCCTGGAGAACAAGAGGTGCCCTCAGCACAGCTTCGGTGCCCCCCAAAACCTGTCCTGAGCCTCGCCCCTGGAGCTCCCCAACAACCAGCAAGCTGGATCAGGCCCACTCCCTTGAAGCAAGGTGGGGTTGGGGGTGTCCTGTGCCCCCCAGTGGGGATGGCATCAGCAGCTGTCTTGTGGCCCTGCCAAGGCTGTGAGACCCCAGGGGGGGACAATGATGATGACACTTACGTAGTAGGCGAGTTTGAGCCCCCCCATGTCAGCGATGTTCTCCCCCAGTGTGTGTTTGCCATTCACCTGCCGAAAAAGACATGGAGTGAGCGGAGACACCCCCCCAGCCAGGCATCCCCCCTTGCCCACCCCGGCACCGAGGTGTGATGAGTTGCTGGGTCTCAGGGCTGGGCAGGGCAGGACCATGCCCTCCTGTGGGCATGGAGCGGTGGGGCCTCCACCCATAGCGTAGTGTGTGCCCAGGCATTGCCCGGTGGGTGAGGGGGGTCTCACCCGCTGGTTGTAGACAGTGAAGTTGTCGTATAGGTTGACGATACACTGCGCCTTCTTCAGGAACTTGCTGTATGACCGCTCCGTCCACCAGTGCACCAGGTTCCCGTGACGGTCATACTGTCCCCCTGCCAAGGCAACCGCCGCCACCAGTAGTCCTGAGGGACCCGGGCATCCTGCCCCCTCGAGCCTGGGGCTGCCCCTCGCCCACCAACCCCCTGTTCTGGTACGGGACAGGGGTCACTCACCCCAGTCATCGTAGCCATGGGTCAGCTCGTGTCCGATGATGGTGCCGATCCCACCATAGTTCAGAGACCTGTTGGGGGGCAGGGGGGAGCAGAGATGAGAGAGTGGAGGGCACAGTGCTGGCAGGGATGGGAGTGACACCAGGAGCTGGCACCCCCACCCATGCCACATACCCTGCCCTGGTGCCCCCCACCCATACCACTGTCCCCAGCCCCATACCCTACCCTGACACCCCCCCCCCCTGCCCCAGCCCCACACTCACTGTGGGAACTCCGGGTCGTAGAGGGTGGGCTGCAGGATGCCAGCAGGGAACACTGGGGACACAGGAGAGCATTGCAGTTGGTGGGGCCACCCTGTCCCATGCCCGTCTGGAGCATCACCAGAGGACCCTTCCCTGTGCCCCCCACCTCGGGCCCTCCCCACACCCCCTGCCCTGGGGGGTTGAGCCCGGGAGCACCAAACAATGTCTCACCCATCTGGTTCTTGTTGGGCAGGTAGTAGGCATTCAGTGCCTGGGGGGGCAGCAGCCACCTGCAAGGAGAGACAGTGGTGCCAGGCTGCAGGGGCACCGGGGGGGCACAGAAATGCCACCCCCTTGCACAGCTTGGAGGTCAGAGGGGCATTCCTGGCTTGCCCTGTGGCCTCCTGCCTACACCCAGTGGGATGCAACCAGGCATGGGGAGAGGGGGCATCGGTGGGGCCATGCTGTGCCCCCTGCCAGTGCCCCTCCCAGGGCAAAGGGATACCCACGCAGACTTGTCCACCTCCTGCCGGATCTTCTTCACCGAGAGCCTGATGCCAAAGGCGATGCTGTTGAGGATGTTCTTGAAGTAAGTCTTCTCGTCCACCTCAAACTGGGAGGGGGCACGGCCACGTCAGGGGGATGCCAGCCCCACGTGCCAGCCCCAAGAGTGTGGGGAGCAGGGCTGGGGTGTCCTCCCACCCCCGTGAGCCCTGGGAACTGAGGGTGTGGGGTTGTGGCCGTGGGCTAGATGTGGCACAACTGCATCCTCGTGTCCTGTTCTGTGTCACCATGGGGGTGGCTGCCTATCTGTCACCTCTGTGGCACCCCTGGGCCATGCAGGGTTATGGGCACCCCCAACCCTTTCTGAGGATGGGGTTGAGCTCTGAGGGGGGTGCAATGTGGGGAAAGGGACATCATCCGGTACCCCAGGGACATCATGGCACTGCCCATGTGGCTGTGACTGTAGCTGTGTGAGTGATGGGCACAATGAGGTAACAGGAGGTGGCTTGTTTTGTGCTGGCATCTCCCTATCCTGGTCTCTGCAGACCCCGAGGCAGATGTGGGGACCATCCCCCCCACTCCGTGCGTCCATGCCCCTGGCATGGCCCTGGCCCAGCCCTTGCCTCATACTCCTTGTCGATGGCTTCTGGCTTCAGCAGGAAATCAGGGTACCCGATCATCACCATCATGTACCGGAGCTGCAGGCAAAGCAAGCAGCGTGGTCAGGCCCCCATCCCCTGTGCCCCCGGGCTGTGGTGGAGGGAAGGGCAGGGATCCACAGTGTTGGCCTCTACCTTGGCCCTGGCTGCTCTCCGTGTCTCCTCATCCATCCAGTCCAGCTCATCCAGGCGCTGGTCCAGGATGTACTTGATGTCCTCCACCAACTGCTGTACCTACAGTGGGTCACCATGGGCACTGGCATGGCATGCTCACCACCCATCACACTGCCAGCCAGTCCTCAGGAGGATGCCAGATGGTGGCAGGCACCTTGGCAAGGGGACGGGAGGGACACAGTGGCTTCATGCCTGCAGGCAGGCATCACCTACCTTGGCTTTGCTGGCGGAGGAGAAGTGCTCCTCAACGAAGAGGGCGCCCAGGGCCATGCCAAAGTGCTTGTTGGCCTGGCTCAGGCAGATCTTGCCTGGCTCAAGCTGCTTCTCGTTGCCCTCCATCTCCTTGGAGAGCTCGTGGATGGCGTCACGGAAGGGAGTCGAGAGGTGCTCACTCAGCACCACCACGATGCGCCACAGCATGTAGTTGTGAAGGATCCTGGTCATGGGGGGCAGGATCAGCCCCACACACACACAGTGGACATGTCCCCAGGCACACAGGGAGGGTAGGGAGCGTGCACCAGGATGGGGACACCCCCTGCTTGGGGTCATGGCAGGTCATGGGGGTGACTGTGTCCTATGGGGGGCTGGGGATGGTCTGGCACCATGTCTCTCACTCCTGTGATGTGTCTGATGACCTCTAGCAAGGGGGGCTCTCAGCGGTTGGCCGGGCACAGCAGGGTGCTGTGGGGCCCATGACAGTGCCCTCTCCCAGGGGCTTTTCCAGGAGTGCCCCTGCCAAGCCTGGCCACCCCAGCATGAGGGGTACCAGCCACTGCCACCCTGTGCTCACCCCATTGCCAACCCTCTGCCAGGCTGAGGAAGGTGCTGGGGGCACAGGGGGTGACAGCCCCCCTCACCTGCTGGGTGTCACACGGATGAGGTCGGACACCTTGTGCATGTAGTCAGTGGCCAGCA